AATTATTATCACACACTTTTGGTTTTTATTTCTATTTGTTATTGCCAATTGCACGCGACTTTTATTGCCGGCAAAATCAAAACAAACCATTTTAAAAACCGCACGCGAAGCACCGCGATTATCTCGACCGTCAAATCAGATTTTTTTTCAAAGTCAAATGGCGGGAAGAAATTGAAAAATGTGCGATGAAACTGGGCTTTTTTGCATTATTCACGACGACCGATTTTTTGACAACAATAATATGTTTTCATTTGTCTCGCATTTTTGAAAATTCCAACTAGCTTTTCAATTTGTATCTCAGAGTACCCATGGTACCAACCACTCGACATGAGTTTTGTTTTCAAACTGAATCTTTCAGCCGGTTTCACCAGACGAGTATGCCCAAACAACCCCTGCAGCAGTGCTCACAGTTTAACTTATTTCAGGCAAAACCAGGCAACTTTATAAGGAAAATGTATTCATTATTAATTTAACTACACTTATTATTATTATAATTATATAAAATAAAGAGGCAATAAGTAATAACGGACATAACATGGTTAATTCACATCTATTGTAGTATTTTAAATAGCTTTAATTTTATTAAGGAAAGTGGTCAATTCAATTTATGTTATATTGTTTTGAATTTAAAAATATAAAAACATTATGTTACATAGTTATAGAAAATTCTATTATCTTAAACGATTTATTGTATTTATTTATATTAATACCCTTCAGGGTAATACTTTTCAGGGTATTATAATTTATAATATATAACTTGCCAACACTGATTTATGTTTCGAAACGAACCGAACCGAGTCTAAGGCTGGTGAGAAAGAATTTGTTCGATAGAACATGCTTCATGTTGGGTGCAACGTTAAACATGCTCGACAGCGAACAAATCTGTCTGCGTCGCAGAGGATTTGAAGGACTTGGGTTTCCTTTTTGGCAAAGTTACCGTTCTTACTTGTTTTTGAGATTTTTAAATCATGTATAATAAATGTTGTAATAAAGCTAATAAATAATAGACTTCTTATTAATAACAAGAAAGGAAGCCAACTTCGGCACGCCGAAGTTTATATACCCTTGCAGATAGAACTTCGATGACTTCCTGGATTCCTTCCATACAATATAAAATATATATATTAATGTTAAAAAAACAATAAAGTAATACCTGCTTTCATTTCATTCACCTATACATATTATATTTGCAGTTTTACATTCACAGATTTGCATTTTTGCTCCACATCTAACGATCGTTTGTATGGCACCCATGTGATATAGTCGTCCGATTTTTATAAATTTGCAACAAAATTTAAGACTGATATAAAACGCTATATTTCAAATTTAATGAAAATCTGCTGAAAACTGAAAACGTTATAATTTTTAATTGTATTCATTTTTTGATCGTTCGTGATATAGTAGTCCGGTTTTTTTTACAACTTTACACAAAATTTAGATAAAATAAAATGATATTTTATGAAAATCTGGTGAAAACTGATTTAAACTTTAATTTTATTAACTTCTTTTATTTCTTATAAAATGGCTATGTATAAAATTTATGAAAATCAGTTGAAAACTGAAAATGTTATACTTTTTAATTGAATTAAATTCTCGACCGTTCCTATGGGAGCTATATGATATAGTCGTCCGATTTTCATCAAATTTTACACAAAATTGTAGAATAATATGAAATGGTTATTTCTCAAATTTGATCAAATTCTGTTGAAAACTAAAAATGTTATAATTTTTTTGTAAAAATTTTCCGATCATTCCTATGGCAGCTATATGATATAGTCGTCCGATCCGGCCCGTTCCGACATATATACGAGTGAGAGTATAAAGAAGACTAACTGCAAAGTTTCATTCAGATAGCTTTTAAACTGAGAGACTAGTTTGCGTAGAAACGGACAGACGGACAGACGGACATGGCTAGATCGACTCGGCTGTTGGTCCTGATCAAGAATATATATACTTTATATAGTCGGAGGTGCCTCCTTCACTGCGTTGCAAACTTCTGACTGAAATTATAATACCCTGCAAGGGTATAAAAACCACTAAATAATGTTTATTGTATTTAAAAATAATTCACAAAGGCAAATTGGACTCAGTGTTGTGTCCTCTGAAAATATTTTAAACTAGCACTTCGATGGAGATAAATAAAAGGGGGCAATGCTCGTGTCACAGCTGCTGGGGTCAACTGAACAGCGAACAAGACCAATTAAGCTGGCCTAACTTATTGTTGGCCAACAATCAAATCGTCGCAATTTAACAAAGTAAGCAATTATGGCAAATACTCGCAGTTTCATGTCACATAAAAAGTCAATGTGCAGAGGGACATGACAGAAAGTAAAATTGTTTAATCATTGAGCTTAATTTCAATTGGAAAACCAGTTTCGCACTAAGCCGATCAGGCACACTCAACTTGTTCGATCTAGTTTACGTGGTTTACTATTCAAATACCCTAACAAGTGGTGGCATTTATGTACTTGAAGATCTCGAAGGTCAAGTTCATGATTTATTTACTGAATGAGGGTTGCATAGGTTCATGGAGACATTAATAGGCGGAGATTGATTATTTTTAAATACCTGAACAGGGATTTTTACAATTGTAAATAAGGTTAAAACTAAAGAAATTTATTAGAACCTATTACAAAATTGTCCAATTTATATTATTGCTTATATTTCAATATATTTATATATTCAACTATTCGACAGTGTATCTCAACACCGCTTTTTTTAGAAATCTTTGTTGCTGTAAAGTTTATGGCCAAGTTGGTCTAAGTGGCGAAATATGATTGCATTTACAGGCACATGCGAGGAGCGCCGAAATTGAGATGATTGAAAAGCCAAACGAGTTGCCGATTGAAAGTGCTATGGAAATCAGGTAAGCTTTCGCGAAAAGTGGGCGTGAAAGAAAGTGGATGATGATAGCCATTGAATCTCTGCAATATAGCTTAAAAAAGAGCCCAGACTTGGACTTGATTTAAAGTAACCTACAGATAATTTGGTAATAAAGTTGGTTCATCTAAGGAGAAATGATTGTCACATTTAGACAATATTATATGACTTATTTAGATACTTTTTCTGGATGGTAAAATGTTTACCAACTCCCACAACTTTCCCTCTTTAACCTGTTACAACTTTAATCAGTGGAAAAACATTTCCCTTCCGCAAGAAAACAAAAACAAAAAACTAGTACTAGACCCAATAAATCTTTGTTTAGACAAATCCAATGAGCATAAAAGCCTTTCGCCTGAGCTGGCACATAGAACATATAGCCAGATGTAGCTCCAGACTGACTGCCTCCACTAATGGCATTAAGCTCCTGCCAAAAAATACACTAAGCATGCATTTTATTGCCTTTTGTCGGTGCTCTGGGAACGCGAGAGCTGCGAGGAGCGGACAGGACGAAGCCGGACACTTTATCATTTCAATGGCAACCCCGGACGCTGGACGCTGCTCTGTTTACTTTTCATTTTATAGAGCCTGTGCCCAGGACATCTCCGCCCACTGGAACCAAGCCTCCTCACATTGTTCACTTTCCCGTCTCTCCAATTGCTGAACGGTTCGTCTATGCAAATATTTTTATTTGCCTTCTGGTTATTGTTGTCCAGCTAGGAAAAAGCACAAAAAAATAGAGTACAGATATTTTAGTCAAGCAGTCGCTTAAATATCTCATAAATCCTTACTTACTTTTGAGTTGAGTTGAACAATTAAATATGAAGTATTTTAAACTCTAAACATTGGATTTATTCACTGCCTTAAGGTCCATTTTATATATATTTGAAAATTGTAAATTGATTGTTATTTTATATCCTTTCTGCCTTTTATACCTTAAGGCACCTCCTAACTATTAGATATCCCTACTTCCACAAATTATTTCTTCCCTTTAATATTTTGCACATTTTGCAAACTTTCCACCGAGTTAGTTTCTAGAGGAATTTACTACCCCTAGTCATCATCAGCTTCATCAAGTTCTTCAAATAGCTAATGGTTCCCGGGGACTTAATTAATCCAGTATTTAGCATATAATTATGGAGTTCACCTGTTTTGATCTTCCCCCGTGTTCGTGTCAGCCTTTTCTCTTCTATCCCGGGAAATGGTCCCCAGGGGATGGACAAACTTCAGGCCCAGCCCACTGCCAATTCAATTTTCCTTTACGACCCAGCAACAGCAGCAACAACAACAACAGGGGGGAAAACTGCTGGAAAAAGTAATCATCGTTGCAATTGTTTCGCATTTTTCACATTGTGGCAGAGGGGAAGATGAATGCCGACTTTGATGATGACTACTTCTACAACTGAGAGAAGATGGGAGTCGTAATGCCTCCTCCCACTTACCATGTGATTCCTGCAGATGACAATTTCTGGCTAACCAATTCCTTTTTTGGTATGACTAATGGCTAACGAGTGAAATCGAAATTTTGGCTTCGATTGAAGCATCACTGAACTTAAAGAGTTGTATGAAAAGAATCCTTAAATGTGACTCTGTAAATGTGACTTTATTTTTATTAAAACACCGGTGGCCGAAGGGGTGTCCTGGACATAAAAGTCTGGACTTTTGAGGAAGGAAGATAATTTTGGTGGACATCGTCCTTTAAAACAAAAGGAAAAATGTCAACATTTACTAAAAAGACATAAAGAAAAATTGCGGGGTGTGTCGAGGAACAATGGCAAATTTTCCTCTGCGGATAAGTACTCCTCGTGAGTTGTTCGTTTTGAGCAAAAAAAGGGATGAATCTGAATAAACTTTGGGTTGCCATGGGTATTTCTCTTTGCACAGAATATCATTATAATTATAATATATAGAAAAGTACACCTTTTCTATACAGACATAAGGCAACTCGGTATTTTGTTGCCTTTTTTATTTTCAGTCTAAATGACCACAAAATGTTGCTAAAATTGTTAAGTAAATATTAAGAAGACCGGAATTATTTTGCTATAAAGAAAAAAAAGTTCAATTCCAGCTGTGAGTAAATCGAAAAGGAATATAAAAAGTAATTTGTGTTTCTTGTCAAGTCAAAAACATTCACAAAAGAAAAGGAGCTCTCGTAAAATGAAGTTTGGCAAGACCTTTGAGAGTCTTTTGACTTCCGAATGGCAGAAGCAGTATATGAAGTACAATGTAATTGATTAAGCTGTAACTTTTAATTTAATTTTAATTTAACATAAATGCCATCTCCAGGAACTTAAGGCCATGATAATGCGGGCCGTGGACGAGGCCCCGAGGAAGGTCCTTTAAAAAGAGCCTACTACCAAGAGTTTGAGACTCTCTTCCTAAACACCTGCCACCAGGAGCTAACCAGAGTGAATGACTTCTTCATTTACAAGGAGGCAGAGGCACATCGGAAGTTGGCCACACTGAACTACCAGCTATTAAGAACGGCAACGCCAGGATTAGGGACTTCCAGGAACCAACAGCAGGAGGAGACCTCAAAGCCGCCTTCGGCTAACAAATTACGTCTGGCTATGAGAGAGTTTTATCTAAGGTAATAATTTAGAATATAAATTTGTTCAAACTAATTAGAAAATAATGATATTCATTAGTATATTAAATTCATAAAAAGGATTAATTATACAGAAACTTATGAATGAATTATAAATAATGTGGTCGGCATTGGTTCTTTATTAATTGCTGTTCAATGTACCAGTTTATTCTTCTATAGAATGTGTTCAACATATGTTATGAAGTGTTTTTTGCCTTTTCCCCAATTAAGGATCCAAAAGAATCATTTTAGGTGTTGAAATCCAAGATGAAATTTGAAATTATGATGAACATTAGGCATCCACACCCCATTAAATCTTGTAGACTTAATAAAAAAGAGATCATTTATTAATTGAAATATAAAAATGTATACTCAATAAATTCATGAATTGGCTTTTAATGAAAATTCATTGTTATATGTACAATAAATATTTATACTTGAATATGGTTGATATAGAAACAATGGTAGCAAATAGAACTTTTAGTTTATTTTAAAAACGTATTGCAAATTTTATTAAAGCAAATGAGATAGACTATTAAATGTTTGTATTATTTTAAGTAAGAGATAACGTATGCTAAAAACTTATTGCTGCTAAGGTCTCCAGTGGTAACTTTTTAAATTATTTAGTAGTTGTCAAGTAGTTAAGTCTTTGTTAAACTTTAAACTTTATTTAATTTCCTTAAACAGCCTGATCATGATGCAAAACTTCCAGACGCTTAACAACACTGGCTTCCGGAAGATCTGCAAAAAGTATGACAAGTACTTAAAGTCCGAGGCAGCTCTCACCTGGTACGAGAGATTTGTTTTGAGAGCAAGCTTCACCATGAGCTCGGAACTGGATCGGATGATAGTCACCGTGGAGGAACTGTACACTCAGTACTTAGCTCAGGGAGATCGTAATAAGACCATGGAGAGTCTACGGGTGCCGCCATTGGGTCAACCAACGCCACCGGTGCACCTCTTTTTCTCGGGTCTATCCATGGGCCTCTTTTTTGTGGGCGCCATCATGTGCCTGATTGTGTGTAGGTGCCATTGAAACATTGAACAGAAACATATTCCCTCATAAAGTAATAAAATTCCGATACCTTTCAGATTTCTGCTTAGATTTGACACCAGAGTTCCGGTTTATCTTCATCAACCTTTTCAGAGGACCCCTTTCGGGAGTGATTTTTGGACTTTACTTGGCAATTAATGTGAATGTTTGGCAAAAGGTTGGAATTAACCATGTCCTGATCTTTGAGCTGGAGCGACGTGATGCCGTTGGCGGAGTAAAGGCTTTGGAAATGGCCTGTTCCTTGGCTTACTTGTGCTCCCTAAGTATTTTGCTGTACTTGCTCCACCAAGAGTTCTATATGAACAACCCGTACTTGATGCCTCTGGTCCCAGTGGTAGTCGCTACTGTGATTATTTTCAATCCTTTTCGCATCCTTTTCTACACGACCAGGATTTGGTTACTACGTGTGACCGGTCGCGTGCTCCTGGCTCCCTTCTTTTTCGTGCAGTTCGTTGACTTTTGGCTTGCGGATCAGTGGTGCTCAGTGGTCATTTGCTTTTCCGATCATTATCGCCTTATAAGGTTCTATGTTCGGTACTTTATGGGCTGGCCCTCGGCCTTTGAATTTGGTTCAGATTACGCAGTGGCTGTCATCCGGTGTCTGCCTCCTTGGTTGCGTTTCTGGCAGAGCCTAAGGCGATATAGAGATAGTAGCTCCAGATCCGGGGATTATCTGATCAATGCATTCAAGTACGCCCTGTCCGTCATAGTGGTTATCTTCTCCACTGTCCAGAAGGAGACGAGTGGTAAGTTTTGAAGATTTATCCTTTGACTAATCATATTATATTATATCACCTTCAGGAAATTACGGCAGTGTGCTTCAGAATCCTTGGACTTGGGTTTATCTAACCACTGCCTTCATTTCCTCATTTTACTCTTTGGCCTGGGACATGCTAAAGGACTTTGGTTTGTTTAAGGAATGGAGGGGGGAAAACCTATTTCTGCGTGATCATCTTGTCTATCCAAAGGTGCTCTGTGAAACTCTATTGAGCTCTGTTTCTGTGTAATTTAATTAAGTCTTTTATTTTAGGTGTTCTATTATTTTGTGATTGTTGAAAATACGTTGCTGCGTTTCGTTTGGCTTTTAGTGTTTGTATTGGTTTATCACAAGGTCTTAGCTTCACATACTGGCACTACAATAGTTTCTTTTTGCGAAATGACGCGACGCTTTATATGGAACTTTTTGCGCTTGGAGAACGAACATTTGAATAATTGCGGACAATTTAGGGCCACTCGGGATATATTCATAACACGTCTAAATCCCGAAGAGGAGCAGCTATTGGAGTCCATGATGGATGAGTCCGAAAAGGTGGGAAAAGAACGCCTTGATAAGAAGTATTTTTGAATACATTTTGTTCAGTTTGCAATAAAAAAGAGAAGGAGGAAACTCAGTTGTTTGAATTTGTCAAAGGTTTTAAACGCTTTCTCCTTCCCATTTTGGCATCTTCTCCATCAGATACTCTTTCCTGCTCTCATTGCTTCAATTACCAACAATTGACAGTCAATGAAGCGTCAAGCAACCCCAAGTTCAGACAACCAGGACTTTCCTCACCCGTTCCGACTCTCGGCACACAAATTGAATAAAATTAATCTCACATTTACGAAATTAAAACCACAAATGGAATTATAAATTCAACACAGAGGAGCAGACCATGTGGAAAAAACCAAGCCCGCAGGACAACAAATGTTAAGCCAGACTAGGCACAAGGACATCCCATGATGCTGGAAGCTGAAGCGCTCTCGGCCAAGGGACTTGACAACCTGCCATTGTGGAGTGGCCAGGAGTGGCAGGACGAACGGCTGCATTGTGGCAGACTCGGGCGGAAGGTTAGCCTGATCCTGGGGGAGTGGTCCTGGTCCCTGCTCATGGTCACGCATAAATGCATGCGAATTAGGCAGCCACAGGAACACACGCACGTGAGCGGATTTGTCCCATGCTCAGCTCCAAACCATTTTGGGGTGGATTCGGGGATCCAACGTGCATGGTAATTTCCTCCCCATTAAAGGACCCTTCCTCGGGGGTTACTTTCTGAGCCAATTCCAGAAGGAAAGCTCGCTTACAAATGCTATAAATACACTTCAGTTGGGGGCAACATATTGCCGGCATGTCTGCCAAAGCAATTTGCAGTTATAAATGGTGTGGGGGAAGGGAGGTCTGACGGGATCAGCTGTTGCTGAAAACCTTAAACATATCCAAGACAATTCCGGGAGCAGTGTAGCAATGTCCTTCGGTTTTAATTATGTGCGTCAGTGCAACATGTTGCTCCCACCAGCAACCCCCAAGAAAATCACAGTCAGAGCTTTAAAAAAAAAACAGGGAATTTGCCAAGTTCCAGGACCTTGGAAGGATCCCCCATTCGAAATTCAGTAGCAGCTGTCGCCGTTAAAATGGTTTTGAATTTTGCATTTGAAAATTTCTCGGCAAGGAATTTTAATAGTACACAGAGGGAAACAAGAGGTAGTTTGCTTAATTTAAGTGTTTCAGTGAAAGAAAAGATTCTCTCTATCATCCAGCTATAAATATTTTAAATATGAATTAGAATTAGTAAGTAAATAAAGATCAAAGAAAAACTGGAACTATAGGCTTATGCATTTATACCTTCTTTCTTTTTTTTTGCTTCAAGTGTAATCCCTTTTGGGGTTGCTATTTTTGTCACCAGTCCGACTGCCTGGCGGGGAATCCCCTTAGCTCTTTGGTTCTAGGGCGACTAACCGCAGACATTATAAACAACGCTCTGGAGGTTCGCTACTCGCTCCCCTTGTCGCAAGTGAAAGTTTGGTTTAAACTCAGCCCCCAAAAAAAACATGTTGCCTACCGTACAACTAGGCGCAAGGACGACCATAAAAATCCCGTGCAATTTATTTGTCTGCTCGACCAAAAGCGAACGCAAAACATTTCCGTAACGCATTTAAATTTCATAGTCAGTGAAAGTCATCAACACATTGGGCCAGGGGCGGGGGGAGCCGAGAGTTAAACGACCAAACTGAATGGGGGGCGCCGCACAAAAGCTTCCGTTTCCTGTCTGCAACTCCGAGGATTCCCCGAGGGTTGCAAACACCGAAGGAACAGGAACCCCAAGCCACAGAGTTCCAGCCGACATCGGGTAAATAAAGTTTTCTAATTTTGCCATCTTGCTTTGAATTTTTCAGAGAGTACTTTTCCCCCTCGGCAGCACTGCGGAGATTTTCCTCTCTTTAAACTTGTAGTATGCCAATTTTGTTTGCTTTTTTGGAGTTTTCCTGCCTTTCTTTTTTCCTGGTGACATCTGTTGTGCGAGGTGTGAGGCGGAACCCCCCTTGAAGTCAAGCCTGGCCCCAACTGCCTGTAATTTCCGGCAAACAAACCAATAAATCATATTAAACTTGCTCGGAATTTTCGGTAAGCGAAGAAAGAAATGCGTTCCGGATGTCCTATGGCAGTCTATAAGAAATTCAAAGGAAATCCCTGACATTGGATATGCTGCGTTTGGGTGAAATGTTGGGGAGGATTTATGCATCGATTGGAAGTGGACGTAGAACCCTGAATATGAATTGGCAGCACCACCGTTTAAATAATGATAGAGTTCAGACGCCAGATTGCTTTTTGGGGGAAGTCTACAGGCTAAGATTGAGGGATTGTTGGAAAATGTAATGTGATTTTTTAGCCAATTTAATTTTTTGGTGAAAATATATCCCTATAATTATTAGCCACGCTCAAATTTATTGATTTTAAATGCAAGCATAATAACATAATTATTTCTAGTTTACAACTTTGCTTTCACTAATTCTTATTTTTTAGATTTAAGAAATTAGAATTGATAAATAAAGATATCTTGCTAATAATTTAGCAAAAGAGTAACTTTTAAACAACATTTTGTTGACTCACAATTCTCATTTCAATCTTAAATTTTCTGAGTGAGTTTAAATAGCACGCTAATAGAAGGTTTTAAATAAAAGATCTGCTAACGCACACTAAACTTAAATTACGTGACTCTAAGAAGGATGCTTAGTATATCAATCCTTCAGATACTTAAATCCTAACGATTTTCAGTTCATACACAAACCCACAGTCTGCTACTTGAGTATAAGAGTAGCCAAGACGCATTTCTCATTTCTAAGTATGGCCACGAAATTCAAAATGAAGAAAATACTGAAAATTTATCGAAAGCTGGAAAACCGATAGGATAATTTTTTCAATGCCATATTTATTCTTTTATATGGTAGTTTAGCAGCAGTTTAATTGTTATTTTATTAGAATTTACTATGTAGAAGAATGTAACCATTTCCTACACCATATTACTATCTCAGACACACACCAGCACTTGAGTTCCACACACATCTTTTCCACACCTTTTATTAGTATATACAACAGCCCAGTATTAAAAAAACAAAATCCACATTTCATAGCGTGGACACAAACCGGATGCCAGAAAAGAATAATAAAAATTCTCTTTTTGGCTTCAAAAATAAGGCGCAAAATAGTAGTGCACTAAAGGTATTTCTAAAAATGTATATAAAAATCAGAACAAAAGAGATACTTAGATGAAAAATAGCCTTAAAGTTTTTCATAATTAAAAAAGAAGTCACATATTATGAAACAAAATGTAATTATAATATTTCAATTCAAGCGGAAGTGCATAAAATAAGCTGCGACATAAAAATCCTTGATATTCTTTGTTATTTTGATTAAGAAGATTGTTTTTGTTAAATGATAATACATATAAGGATTAATCAAACAGTGGTTTTGGTTATCTTAAATTGAATAGGCCAAGCGAGCTTAGGACTGTACTGAAATTTAATATTTCCTTTTTCTAAAATTTTTCCCCCAGAATTCGACTTCTTAAGCCTTTATCTTTTCTCCTCAGAAAGTAATAAAATTATTGTCACTCACCTGTTCACCATTTCATTGCCGTTCTCCAGAGACTGGGCCAACTGCTGCTGCTCCTGTTGATTTGTGGTGTTAAGCTGCCCGGTTGCTGGGGTGGGAGTTCTCAAGCTTCCGCCTATGCCAATGCCCAGGACCGAACCGCCAGACAGGATGGCCGAGGAGGAACTTCCGCCACCAACGCCAATGGACTTGGTTTGCTTGGCCTGCTGCTTGAAGCGGCTAAGAGCGAAGAAGAGGGCTAAGACCGCTTTCAACCGACCGCTGGAAATGTCGCCGGTGGTGATGTTCTCCAAGCCGCCGACCGACTGACTGCGCAGCACATGCAGACACGAGTTGACGTTGTCGAACTGCCCATGAAACGAAACGGAAGAGAGAATAAAATATATATAGACACAGTTTAAATCGCAGCTCAGAGTATAAATAAAATAAATACAAATAAAAACCAATTTAAGCACAACGATGACTCATCGCTAGAGCTCTTTGATCCGCCTAATATAAATGTAAATCCTCGGAGCTGCTTTATCGCCGCACCGACTCCGAGTTGTCGTGACTTTGACATGACTCCCAAATGAGGCTCCCAAACGCCAAACAAATGCGTTTTTTATAGCTAATTTGCCCAGGCGTTCTTAACTGCTTCACGCACCAGAAAAACCCTCCGGAATCAGGATCGACCCCAAACCCAAACGAGACAAGAACAAACAAAAATATACATTAAGATAAAGTGTTCAGACATCAAACTGTCTGTTCTTTTCATTTGTCAACACCGAAAAACCAGTAAGTGGCAGGTTGCACGACTTTTGAGATACGATACTTGGGTTTAAGTCACTTAACCTATCTTGAAACTGTTGGAAATATTTAAAATTTACAATATTTGTGGGATATTCTAAGAAAAGTCAATATAGCAAGAGTTATTAGGGAATTTTAGAAACCAAGAGACTCAAAAAACATTTTCAGTTGGTCTAAAAAAACGCATTTTCTGACAGCTAACATGATTAACCACTTTTCTGGCGTTTTTACTAGAGAAACATCTGAGATATTGTCAACACGCTTCCGAAAAGCTTGAGAAATTTGTCTTTTGTTTCTGGTCCTGCTTCTCTATTTCATATTTTACTCCACCCAGCCTCAACCCCGCACGTTGTCATAGCGCTTGTAACAATTTAAACAAAAATCAAGAAGAATACATTCGTATGGTAAATGGAACAGAGAGAGGCGAATGTCGAAAATCAAAGTTGACAACAGACATGACAGGCAGACAAATGACAAACGTCTGCCGTCCGATGTCTGTGTGCACTCAATTGCTGCACAGAGTCCAAAAGTCGAAGCCCCAAAAGCGAGGCCCACACTTATCTAAGGTGGAGCTAGAGAGTGGTAGAAACTTTAAGCAGCTGCTAAACTTATATGGCAAACTTTATAATAACTTTTGCGACAGACGCCCAATGACTTTGGCAAACAATTGAAAAACTCTAATAAACGATAAG